CATACGTCCCCACGTGCAAGCTCTGTCCCCTGAGCTGCTGCCTCTGTGGCTGGTGGCCACCCCCACCCCACCTGTCCCTGTCACCACTGCCCCGCCGGGTGGGACCAGACTCTGACCCAGAAGCTCCCTTCTACTCCACTGGACAGCAGGGCAGTGGGGCAGGTGAGCTAGCTGGCCCCCCTCAGGCCCCAAGAGCCCTTCCAGGCCGGTGCGCTGCCCCTCTCCCCCACCCCGCAAGCTCTGTTCTCCAGCGCATGCCCCGGCCATAGTGCTGGGCCACGGCAGGAGACGCGCTCTCATGGGACCAGACTCTGACCCAGAAGCTCCCTTCTACTCCACTGGACAGCAGGGCAGTGGGGCAGGTGAGCTAGCTGGCCCCCCTCAGGCCCCAAGAGCCCTTCCAGGCCGGTGCGCTGCCCCTCTCCCCCACCCCGCAAGCTCTGTTCTCCAGCGCATGCCCCGGCCATAGTGCTGGGCCACGGCAGGAGACGCGCTCTCACCCGGCCCGTGGGCTAGCGCCCGGGCCCGTGGCCTGCTGGGGGCTGGCCTGGCGCAGAGCGCTCCCTCCTCGTGTGGCCAGTGTCACTCCCCCCGGCTCTTCTGCCCCCCTCGTGCAGCTCATGAAGCTAAACCAGGAGTGGGACCAGATTTACCACAACACTACCCTGGCGCTGCAGCAGGAGGTGCTCTCCCTCAAGCAGCAGACCGAGAGGCTCTCCATGAAGCTGGAGCACGAACAGGTGAGCAAAGGCGCCCCGGGTCTGCAGCAGCCGGCCGAGGGCGTGGCCCGGCCTGAGGGGCTCCGGCAGCACATCTGGAGACCAGGGCTCAGGGTAGCTCGCCCGAGCTCCTCGCCTCGCGTCCCACTGGGCAGGTGAGGGTTTCCGTGGGGTAGCAATGGTCCCCGGCGGCCCTCGGGGGCTCTGCCCTGCTCCCCCTCAGCCGAGCGTGGCCTAGACGCGGTGGCTGCAGAAACAAAGCGCCAGGAGCGGAGGCCTGATTCTCCCCTGCAGTCAGAGCCACCGCGGTGGGCGGTGGGCGGCGGGCGGAACAGATACGTCACCTCCAGCCCCGCTGCCAAACCTCCTGTGCTCACTGGTAATCCCCGAGTCCTGGCAACCTCTGGGCAGCTGTGTGGGGGGCGGCGCAAAGCCCAGCAAGCCCCCCTCAGGGCTCACTGGCGCCACGTTCTAGGTAGCGCTTTACAAAGGAGGGCAGGAGCGTCATCTCCTGGGTAGGGAAACTGAGGCACCAAGCTGCAGAGCAACTTGCCCAAGCTGGCCCCTGCCGGAGCCAAGCCTCGAACCCGGCTCTGCAGTGCCCTACGCCCCACCCCCCAGTTGAACCCACAGTGCGGGAGGTAACAGGACATGGTCTTGCGGCACCCTGCCCCTCCCCTCGTCGCATGGGTGAGGGAGGGGCAGCAAACAGAACCCCCCTCAGCCCTGCAGCAGTAGCATCCCTGGCCCAGCGGCTCCCCCAGCTGCTGTCCTGACGGCGCCCGTCCCCTTACAGAACAAGAGGGAGTACTACGAGCAGACCCTCATCCAGGAGCTCAAGAAGAACCAGCATTTGCAGGAGTACGTGAGGCAGCTGGAAGGCAGGCAGCACCACAGCCGGGAGAAGAGGACCTTGGAGGTAAGCGCCTGGCAAACCCCCCTCCTCCCTCTCTCCAGGCATAGGAGAGCAGAGGCTGCCCCAAGGCAGCAGGGTTACGAACCCAAAACTCATTGGCTATGTCTAGACTGGCATGATTTTCCGCAAATGCTTTTAACAGAAAAGTTTTTCCGTTAAAAGCATTTGCAGAAAAGCGCGTCTAGATTGGCAGGACGCTTTTCCGCAAAAGCACGTTTTGCAGAAAAGCGTCCGTGGCCAATCTAGACGCGCTTTTCTGCAAAAAAGCCCAATCGCCATTTTCACAAACGGGGCTTTTTTGCGCAAAACAGCTGAGATTTGTCTACACTGGCCCTTTTACGCAAAAGGACTTTTGCCCGAACGGGAGCAGCACAGCATTTCCGCAAGAAGCCCTGATTTCTTACAGGAGATCGGCAGTGTTCTTGCGGAAATTCAAGGGACCAGTGTAGACAGCTGCTTTTGCGGAAAAACTTGCCAGTCTAGACGCAGCCATTGGGTTGTACTGCATGGAAAATGCTCTTCACTCTGAGGGCAGGGAGTCCCAGCTCCTGGCTGGGCCCAGGGGCCTCCAGAGCATGGCCA